AATCTCTAGGTCATGTCAATGACCTATGACGACCTGAATTCCCAATTTCGAGTTTTACATGAGTCTAGGCTAGTTTTTTTAGCTGATTTCGAATTTAACAGGTCCTGTGCCCCAGTCTGTGCTGCAGCAGTCTATATTGTGGCCCAGTCTGTGCTGCAGCCTGCAGCAGCCTGTACTGTGTCCCAGTCTATGCTGCAGCAGTCTGTACTGTGCCCAGAGGTGATCTCGGGGGGGGGGGGGGTCGGGGGGGGGGGGTCAGGACCCCCTGAAAACGAATTACTGCTATGTAAGTCAATGGTACTGCATCCAGCCCGCCTCCATCTGCCCGGCCTGGACCCCCCCCCCCTGAAATTTTGACAGATCTCCACCCCTGACTGTGCCCCCATCTGTGCTGTGCCCCAGTCTGTGCTGCAGCAGTCTGTGCTGTGCACCAGTCTGTGCAGCAGCAAAGCTCATCAGCAGAGTTGCTGATTGTACCTATTCATAACAAGGATGGCATGGCCCTATTCACAACAAGGATGGCACGGTTGTAGGTAGGGATCGTGAGGTTGTTGATTGCATCAGTTTATCATGGCTGTTAGCCTGTTAGTGTTGTTTAGATCATTCAGAACACATTCTTAATTCCAGAAAAGATTAAAGGTAGTGTGCCACCTTTAAAAGATTTCCCATTTTATTTTTCCTAGGATTAGAAGCTTCTGTTTTTACCTAATATCGCAAAAAAAAAAATCAAAAATGGGCCTGGAATAGTGCTTTTTTCGCCTAAAAGTTTATCGGTTTTTCGATATGTATAACAACTGTAGTGGGCTCACCTGCAAACAGGCGTCGGCAACAATCGCGAATGCGGCGCACATGTAACAATAAGCAAAGGTCATTATAGAGTTACGACGTACGGAAATGAGTTATCAGCTGTCTAATCGTAGACAACACAATGTCGAACTTAAACTGTAAGCCTGTATTGGTATTATTTCTTTAATTTGGCTGTCGAACATTAATTTATGGTTTGAAATATTATTTTCTGTAAAATAATTGATATGAAACAGCCGTCTCTAAAGTTATGACCCCATCTCACCACATGAAAGTGGCAGAAATGACAATGATCAGCTGACGCATTTCTCTTGGCCGAAGTCAGAGCGCGCGGCCCGACGCACCACCACCGCACCACAAAGTATGAGCAGAAGCCGCGCCCAAAGCCAGGGCCCCGGTAACGTGAGGTAGCTGAGTCGGGGCAGCGTGCGCTGACCCAAGCCGGGGCCGCGGCTCTGGGCGCGGTCTACCGCATCCCCGCGGGCAGCCCCGGGCTATCACATGACACCGGGAGGACGCGCGGCCCCGGCTTGGGTCAGCGCACGCTGCCCCGACTCGGCTACCTCACGTTACCGGGGCCCTGGCTTTGGGCGCGGTCTACCGCACCACCTAACAGGCGTGTTCGAAACCGCAGGAGATGATGATGAACGGGTTTATCGAAACTTGATTGGATGAGCCTATCGGTAATAGCGATTTCAGTGTGTGCATGTATTGTTCATAGTGGTGTGAAATGTGGTTGGGGTACGACCGACAACCCGTCGGGGCAAATTTCGCACTGGGGTACTCAAAATTTGAAGAATTTAAGACGTTTCCATGAGTTTTGAAGGTATGGATAAGTTCTAAAAATCCGGTTCTCCTTATCTGGGCCATTAACTCCATACGGTCCAGGAAAGCTGGCACACTACCTTTAAGCCAGGTTGAAATTAAAGTTAAGAACGATGCTCAAGACTGAAATGTTAACATAGAACATACATCCATTACATCCTAGGTCATGAGACATCCTAGGTCATGAGACACACACAGTGACCTCCCACGGCCACACCCCACAAATGTCACATGGAGCTAGCACTTGCCATCTTAGGGGAAGGTGGGGTAAGACGGACCAGCTAAGGTTTGAGGCCGCATATCTTGCTACACTGCTCTCATAATTCATATTATTTATAGTCTTCGGAATGCCCAATCCTTCCTCTGTTGATATGTGTAAAGACTGAATTTCAAATTAAAGACATCTAGGTGGTGGATGCTCTTAAAGAGGGACATGTCAAAAACTCAGACAAGAAAAAACGTGGGGTAAGACGGACCACCCAGCAGTGCCTGCTATCCGTTCATGTGTGTTACACTTCTGCTCTGTACTCTTGTAAGAAAAAGTAACCAGAATGGTAAAATAACAAAATGAGCCTTTATTCTTTACTCATGTGTGATGGAAGTGCAGCTAAAAGCTGGGAACATGTGTGTTGATTGTCGTTTGGCATGAATGCATGCTAACTGAGCACTTGCATGCATGGCTCACATGCAACAAAGACTCATTCCTGAAAAATTAGCATACTTAAACTTGTGTCAATGTTTTGGAAAAGAACTTTCCATATGCAGGGTACAATGGACCACCACAGGGTAAGATGGACCACAGTGGTCCGTCTTACCCCAAATCTAAATTCTGTCATTATCATGACGTTTATGTCAAATAGCCCAACATTGCAAAACCTTGCCTTTCCTAAAGTGTGACTATGACTAAGTTTATAACTTTGTTCTTCACAGTTAAGTGCAAAATAGAAACTAATCATGCAAGAAAGGCGCCGTAATTGAATCACCCTTAGACCTCTTATATTAGATTTTGACGAAAAACAACATTTTTCTCAATAACTCAAAAGCTATGCATCCTAGCAGCATGAGCTCAAGGTGGCCGTTTGTTGTTTGTTGATTGGGGCTTTAGGGCGCGCCGACTGCTAAGGTCATTTTGCGCCCAAGGTGCTCAAGGTGGCCGTTGTTACGAAGGAAAACAAACATAGTGAGTGCATAAAGCAGTAGATACCAGCAGCGGTTCAGCTGGGAGGGCTGGTGGTCCGTCTTGCCCCGCTGGGCCGTCTTACCCCACCTTCCCCTATATCTTTGGACTGTGAGATGTCCCTTAAACTGCCAAAGCACCATCAATTTGCTGCAACCCTAATGGTGACATTGACCTGAGCCCACTGTTACAGCTCAAAAAGCCAAACTGGTGTGGAGTGGGGAGGGATCAAGCGCATGCAACTCAGTATAACTTGACACCCATAGTAGTTTCATTACATTCGACAGATCAAATCCTAGTACACGTAACAGTTCAGTAGGCGGAACTATGGTCAAGCGTACCCATTTTCGGGAACGCATTTTCGTTCCCATGTTTGGGAACGATAAACCCAAATATGGGAACGCCATGTAGGCATTATTTAAAACAAGAAAAAGAACTGTTAAATGACGTCCAAAAAATATAAAACGATCGTGAACCGCCTGATAGTTGTCTCAATATTGTTGGGAAAGAGTTTGATATTGTAAGGCCCATCGTAGTTTCAAATCGTTCCCCTATTTCTAAAGCAGTCCATCACCCGGGCCGCGAGCCCAAATTTGGGAACGCTGTCGTACACTGGCGCTGCAAGCGTTCCTTATTATGGGAACGGCGTACCCAAAATTGGGAACGATTTCACCGACGCCTTTCAGGGGCTCTTTTCATTAACAAGCATCACGTCCAACGCCGCAAATTATTGTTAACGCAACAATCATCAGATGACCTTTCCGGCAAGACCGTTGCATGTTTCGCCCGGTCTTCTGCGCTTTTATTCCCGTCGATCTCGCAGCGGGCACGCCCCCCTCTGCAGGATTACGTAATCCACAACGCTCAGCGATGTTCAACAAGGTCTTCCATACCTATATCCACCGTCCGCGCCGAGGGTGGAGACATGTCAAGCACCTGTCTGCTAATCACCGAGAGTTGACGAGCACAAGAAGTATCCAAAAATGGGAACGCTGAATATGTTACACCCTCAAAACACCTAGTCCCAATGAAAATCTAGTTTTTTCCTTTCTTAATGAGTGTAAGTGGCAAAAGGCCTGGTAGGATGGGCACGACGTATGATCGAAATCAGCATAAAAATTATAAATAAGCCACACAGAGCGACCTATATCAGAGAAATTCCCCCAACCGATCATGCTTAGAAACGCCGAAGACAAAAACCACGCTCATGACACTGCTTATAAAACAACGCTAAACAGCTAGCATCCAAATAAAATATGTCTTTCAGGGCTGATAAAATACAGCTGAATGATTTTAAACCACTGAAACTGAGTTTACAACAGTAGTTCGGTAAAATCACTGACGTTCCACGCGGTCGATCGCCCCGACACCAAATGTCAACAATATTACCTCGGGACTGTCCGCGTGTTCGCTTGCATATGTCATCATCTGGTGTCGCTAGAATGAAACTTCATAACCAGGCGAAAATTATTATACTTGACCTCAAAATGTAAAAAATGCTTCATTTTCCTTAAACTTGCATGTTAAATGTCGTATAACCCATATTTCCACCATTCTGTCATTTTTAAAAAATCATTAAAAATATCATTCCACGGTCAATTTCCTTGTTCCACGGTCAGATTAAAGATAACTTTATGGAGATTTAGTAGATACTTAAATCAGCGTGCACTTTTTTGAGACGTGATGCACTTTTGAGTTTTAGTGGGCGAACGGCCGAAAAATTGCCTTCCGTTCTCATAAATGGGAACGCCCGTTCCCATATTTGGGAACTCCGTTCCCAAAAATGGGAACGTTCCTATATTTGGGTACTCATGACCATAGTTCCGCCTACTGAGTTTACCTTGAGAAAAAATGTAGAAATCCAACTTTTCATGTTACACTGGTGCAAAAAAAATACAAAGACAGACAGATGACATGAACAAAAAACAAACAAATGACATGAACCAACCTATCTGGTAGACATAATCCTGATGGAAGTTGAAGATGGAAAATGTTTTCAGCCGATATGATGTAGCTCAAGAGAATTATCAAACTAGGAAGCAATTTCAAAGCGCCAAAAAGAATCAGAAATAATCTTATAAACGATAAAAATATGAAAAATAAGACAGTAACGTCTAAAATTATCACTTTTCCTTATTATCAACCAGCGCCGCCGTGTAGCCACATTCGCCGCAGCACCCGAAAAGGGACGTACCTGGCCACTATTGGAGGCTGGCGAGCCCGCTACGATATCATACACGATCGGGGGCAGCTCGGAGCCAGAACCGCCGAGGATGGAGAACCCGAATCCGCCCTCCGGACCCCTTTTGAGCACCACGGACCGCACCTCGCCCGCCATCACGAGCACCGGCGCCACACTGATCAAGGACGACCGAATACAAATGTTGCCAATCGCAGACGGCCCTTGCAGATAAATGACGTCACTGGTGTTTTTTGTCTTGTGTGAGCTTCAATGGTACATACCTAGTGCCCTGGGCTGTGAATTGTGATATCTGTAAAAAAAAAAAAATATTGGTATTGTCGCCTGAGCCGTAGTTGACGAGCGTTGTTACGCGCAGAACACCGTAGCCAGAGCGTTGCTTGTATTCGTCACGATGCGGTCGACTAGCGAATACTGATGCGTAGGTGCAGCATATGAAGCAGCGTGGCAACTCAAACTGGCACTAGCGCAGGTAGGCATGGTATAATAACGATGCATCTAGCGGTTTCTGCAAAGGCAAAAACATTGAATAAACGATACGGAAAAATAGAACAAATTCAAGAGCGCGATAATCTAAAAGCAATAAAGCAATAAATCATAATGTTCAGTTCTTACCAACGATTTCGTCCACTCAGGCGCTATGCCTCCATTCTCGACGGAGTACACCATGAAAAAGACTGAGTATGGCGGCTGACTTAGAGCCCGCCAGTCACGGGAACCCGCAAGTACTGCAGACACGCGGACATAAACATTAACACATGAACATGCCATACTCATCCGTAAAACAAATAACATGCGGAATAACAGAAAAATATCCCCGTATAAACTCATCCCGCGAAACACAACACAAAAAGATAACACATATATCGTACGCAACGAACAAGTACCGCCCGCGACAGAGATGGGCAAAAGTATCGATCAGCTGTTCGCGCCGTCTGAGACACGGCCAATAAAGCTACCGCGCGAAGCCAGCGTGGGGGGACGGGAACGGCTCAGGAAGGGGCAGGCTGCTCCATCTCGCGGCTGTCTGGGAAACTCCTCCGCACCGCGCAGACCGTAAGGCGCAGGTGTCGCTGCAGACGCATGACTCCTCCGTCACGCGCACACAGGCGCGCGGCTCACAGGCGCACTAACACCCGCCCCTTTTTGACTTCGCCGTCAAAACAAACTTAAACTTTCCTTCTTCACTCGGCCTCGGTAGCGCCGATAATCTTCACCACCTTGGTGATGGGTCGCGCATAAGTCGTGCCGCGGACGCGGACCCACACGGTGCGAACTCGTCCGTCCGCGGCCGCCGGCGCCGCCTCTACGCGTCCGAGCGGCCAGGTTCCGCGAGGAACGGCGTCGTCCACCATGAGCACGATGTCCCCTGGCTTCATGTTCGTCGTGCTTCTTGTAGATCGTCCTGCTCTCGTCTGCAGCAACGGCAGGTACTCCCTGCGCCAACGGCGCCAGAATTGCTCCGCCAAGTAGGCGGCTCGTCTCCATTGGCGGCGACCGACTAGGTCGCAGTCTGTAGTAGCGCTGCTGCTGGGAAGCGTTACACACTTGAGGTGCAGGATGTGGTTAGGTGTGAGCGGAGTCTCGTCTCTGGGGTCAGCACTGACCGGCGTCAGAGGCCGGTTGTTAATTATACATTCGACCTCACACAGGAGTGTGTGAAGCGTCTCGTCTGTCATGGATTGTTCGGTCAGGATGGCGTTCAGGATCTTGCGGATAGTGCGAATCTGCCTTTCCCAGGCTCCGCCGAAGTGCGATGCGTGCGGCGGGTTAAACCTCCAGTCGATCTTCATGTCCAGGGCAACTTTCTGGATCCGGTTGTTGTCGTTCTGCAGCTTGTCGACTTCGTTTCGGAGCTCTCGGTCTGCGCCCGTGAAATTTGTACCGCGGTCAGAGCGCAAGGTGCGTACGTCGCCTCGGCGAGCGACAAACCTGCGCAGTGCGCACAGGAACGAGTCAGTTGACAAGCTTTCCGCCACCTCTATGTGCACCGCTCGCGTTGCGAGGCACGTGAAGATTACGCCATACTTCTTGACGTGAGACCTGCCCCTCTTGACGTAGAAGTTGCCGAAAAAGTCGACACCGGTCCTGGTGAACGGTTTCTCGCCTTCACGAACCCGATCCTCCGGAAGGTCGGCCATCTTTTGAGTCTCCGGCGGTCTCTGCCTTCGGCGGCAGCTCAGGCAGCGGCTCAACACGCGCCTGACGGCCGAGTTAGCTCCCAGCACCCAGTAAGACCTACTGATGTCAGCCATGACGTGCTGTCTTCCTTCGTGGCCGGCTCTGCGATGAAAGTCCTCGATCAGCATATCAATGACGCGCCCCTTCTTCGGAAGGATCGCTGGGCACTTGGCAGTCTCGCACAGCGCGGAGTTCCTCAGGCGACCCCGAGCTCTCAGCACGCCATCCTGGAGGCCGGGATCCAGGCGTGCGAGCGGGCTCGACAGACGTACTTCCTTGCCCGCTCTCAGGTCCTTCATCTCCTGCGGGAAGCTCGCTTCCTGCTCCGACAAGATGATGAGTTTCTCAGCGTCTGCAATCTCCTGTACGCTGAGCTCGGCCGGCGACGACATGATGCCGCCACGTTTCTTGTCCCTCAGCATCCGCAACACACGGCGGATCCATGCCACCGCCCTGGTCAGCCGTCTCCAAGTCGAGTAGTGGTTGACTAGCCTCTTCATCGGCCTGACGGCGTCGGCATTGCCCTCGACGCTGCTCAGGCATGTAGATGTCTTCACCTCCGGATCGTGCTCGGAGACTCCTTCTCCAGCTTCTGGGTCGCTCGGCCACGTCTCCGGCGGCCCCTTCAGGAACTGAGGACCGGCTCTCCAGAGGCTACTGCCCATCAGCGTTTGGGCGTCCACTCCCCGGGAGACCAGATCCGCCGGGTTCTGACCTGTGGGCACAAACCTCCACTGTTCGACGCTCGACCCGTCATGAATAGCCGCGAGCCGATTCGAAACGAATACATGAAACCGTGTCCTGGTGTTGCGGATGTACTTCAGTACTGTCGTACTGTCAGTCCAGTAGTTCTGTTCAACTCGGGTGTCCAGTGCGCGGACCAGCTCTTGTCCTGCCTCAACCGCCAGCTTGGCAGCAGCCAACTCGAGTCGGGGGATCGTGAGCGCTTTCACGGGGGCCAGTCGAGCTTTGCTGGCGAGCAGAGCGCAGTGAGCGCGTCCTTCCGGCGTCACGGTACGCAGATAGGAGACGGCGCCATAGGCTCTCTCGCTCGCGTCCGCGAAGTGGTGCAGCTCCACCGTCCCGTCCAGTCTTCCCGCCGTAACGCACCTGGGGAAGAAACAGTGAGACAACTGCGGCAGGTCTCGCAGCCATCGCTCCCAGGATTCTCTCGTAGCTTTGGGCACTTCCTCATCCCAGCCCACTTTCAGCCGAAACAGGTCTTGGAGCAAGATCCTCGCTCTCACGATGCATGGAGTCACCAGTCCCAGCGGGTCGTAGCAGGACGCCGTAGCCGACAACATCCCCCTCTTCGTCTTCGGCTTCTTCGTCAACTTGCTGACGTCTACCTGGAAGCTGAACATGTCGGAGTTAGTGTCCCACAGTACTCCCAGGGCGCGTTCCACTGGAAGAGCGTCTGTCCCCGGCGTGAGCTCTTTCACTTTCTTTGTCCTCTCTTCTCTGGGCACAGATCTCAGGACTCCGACACTGTTACTGCTGATCTTGGTAAGCTTGAAGCCGCCCTCGGCGCAGAGCGCCTTGAGGTCTCCGACCAGTTTGACCGCGGCTCCTTCGCTTCCCACAGACTTCAGGACGTCATCCACATAGAAGTTCCGTCTCACGGTGTCTCTGGCCTCCTCCATCTTCTGACCGAACTCCTCAGCTGTCCTGTGCAGCGCCAGGTTGGCGCAGCTCGGTGAAGACGTAGCACCGAAGAGATGTCTTGTATTGCGATATTCCCTGGGCGTGCAGGTGACATCTCCTCGTGGCCACCACAGGAACCGCAGGTAGTCTCGTTGATGTTCGGGGACCAACACCTGCATGAACATGGCCTCGATGTCCCCCGTGAAGGCGTACGGCTGTTCACGGAAACGGATGAGCACGTCAATCAGTGGGTTAGTCAGGTCAGGTCCCTGCAAGAGAGTGTCATTGAGAGACACGCCGTTGAACTTGCTCGCGCAGTCAAACACAACCCGAACCTTCTCTTTCTGCGGATGCCGAACTCCGAAGTGCGGGATGTACCACTTGCATGCTGGTTTATCGTTGTCTGGGGCCTCTTCCGCATACCCCTTCTCCAGCAGGTCTGCCATCACAGCCTTGTACTCTTCAGCGTACTTCGGGTCCTTCTCAAAGGCCCTCTTCAGAAGATTGAGCCTCTTGAGAGCAACTTGACGGTTGTTGTCAAGAAGCGGCTTGCTCTCCCTGAAGGGCAGCTTGATCTCGTATCTCCCTTCTCTTCGTCTGCAGCCTGTCTCCATCTGTGTGCACCATCTTACATCTTCAACCGACAGACCTCTTCTTGTGTCGGCTCGGTCCTCGAACAGCTCTTCTGGGCCCAGTGCGTCCACGATCTTGATGCGGTTGATGCTGACTGACTTGGTGAACTTCCCGACACCACTCAGCACCCAACCATACCTCGTTCTCACAGCATAGGGACCACCATCTCGGCTCGGACACACTTCCACAGGCTCCATCACACTGGCCGCGTTACCTCCTATCAGGAGGCCAATCTCTTGGTCACCTGATAGTGTCTCCAGAAATACTCCAGCATCTTGCAGGTATTTCCATTTACTCACATCTTCTTCGGATGGAATGTCTTCAGACGTCACAGGGATGTGGTCCAGGACATACAGAGGCGGCAGCTCCATGCAGCTCCATGCTCCATCAGAAGCCCCATCGAGGCTTCTGATGACCAGACCAGGAACGAGACAGCTGTCCATCACCGCCTCTCCCCTGATCGTGCACACCCTCAGTGATGAGTTGTTTTGCGGCGTCACCTTCATCTTCTGCAACAGGTGCTTTGAGATGAAGGAGTGTGTGCTACCGCTGTCAAGAAAGGCGTTAGTTACCACAGTCTCCTTGTCTAGCCCCACCATCACCTTCAGCACCTGGAGCTTGGCCCCTCCCGCCCCGCTGGGCGCCAGATGGCCTGTTGTAGCACTTGGTGTTGGACTTATCCTATCTTCATGGAGCACAGTTGGGTGGCTTCTGTTGCACCGCTCACAGGTCCTCCTTTCCTTACAGAACCTGGAGCGGTGGCCATGCTGAAGACAGGCGAAGCAGAGGCCCTTCTCTTTCACGAACTTGCTCCTCTCCTCGTGCGTCCTGGACTCGAACTTCTTGCAGTTTTCGATCTGGTGTCTTCCCTGGCAAAAGAGACATGATGGTTGTGCATTCTCCATTGGCTGGACACTTCCTGCTAGAGTTCTTCCAGCGATTACCCTTCCTGAGGGCTGCACCTTCAGCTTTGTGTCATCTTTCTTGGTTCTTGTTCCTGGGCACAGCACATGTCGTCCGTACGAGGGGTTCGTTGCAATCCTTGCTTCAGTCTCGATGAATTGGACAAGATCACTGAAGTTCGCTGGACGTCTCCCTTCCTGTTCGATGGCATCAGCTTTCCGGCGCCACCTCTCAGTCAGGTGATACGGGAGCTTCTCCAGCAGTCTTCGGATGGTCTTCGAGTCAACAGACCCCACACCGTGTGGCAGGTTCTCGAGCGCGTTCATGCAGCCCCTGAGGAAGATGCCAAAGTCATCCAGTCCGTCTCCATCATCCGCTCTAAGGGTGGGTAGGGCTAGCATCTCGTCCACCAGACTAGCTACGGTCTGAGCCTGACAGTCGTACCTGCGGCGGAGCAACATGACAGCTTGGGCATAGCCCTGCTCTTCAGGCAGATGAACGCAGGTCTGAACGAGGTCGTGTGGCTTTCCCTTGGTGAACTTAAGCAGGTACAGGAGCCTCTCAGCATCACAGTCCACATTTCTTGCTATGTTGGACTCGAAGGTCCTGAGGAAGGGCTTGAACTTCGAAGTGTCACCCCTGAAAGTGGTCAGGTCAAGTGATGGCAGGTGGAGACGCCTTACCATCTGCAGGTCAGTGCTGTGTTGAGCCGGAGCCCCGCCAGCTACTTGCTGCTGTGTTGGCTCGTCTTGCAGAACGGATTCTGGTGTCACTTCCTGTGGAGATGCCGCTGGAGATGTAGCATCTTGCTGAGCTGCGGCATCTTGCAGAGCTCTTGTCACCGCAGCTTCCTGTGGCTGGACTGTGTCGGCGGCAGCAGCCCCTTGCAACCACATACTTGCAGCTCTTGTCGCATGCTCCACCTTCAGCATCTCCTCCAGGACCTTCTCCTTGGCTTCACTCTCGTCTATCTCCGCCTGGATCTCCAGCTCTTCTCTCTTCTTTCTCAATGCAGCTTCTTCTTCTTCAAGCTGGTGCCTCTTCTTCAGGGCTTCCTTCTTGGCAGACAGCCCAGCCAGCCTCGCTCTCTCCAAAGCCCTGGCAGAGACGATGCTGGCCGATGTTCGGACACTGGAGGCAGGCTTGGAACTTGCAGCACTTCCACCTCCAGATCTTGATGATCCCGACTTCACACTCTTCCCATCATCGGCTTTCTTCGGCTCACACTCTTCATGCAGCTTATCGGTCTCTTCCTTGGCCTGCTTCCTAGCTCCCTGACTCTGGAACTCTTCTTCCTTCAAGAGCTCTCTCAACCTCTCCAACAAGGCTGGCTTTCTTCCCCGCACATCTTCTCTACGCCTAGTCAACTCCCCGACCAGCTCCTCCTTTGTCAACTTGTCAAGGTCCATGGTTATCGTTGGCACACACGGTCAAGCAAGGTCAAGCGAGGTCAACGTCAAGTGAGGGGGTCATGTGGGTCAGGTTGGGCAGGTCAGAAGGATAGGGTTGCTGGCATGATAAGTTATGAATGAACACTTCAACCTTAAGCTAAACACATGTCAAACTAGCACCGAGAACAGCTACACGAATGTCAGCCTCATATGGTTCAGACACACCACATCATTGCACCTGTTCCATGCATGCCTCAAAAGTCTTAACAAACAGAAAAGATCACTGGTCAGACCTCTTTCCCTGCCATCAGGAGCAGCAGCACCCACCATCAGTAGCAGTGGCGTCCACCCAGTAGGTGCCAGCCAGCAGACGCGAACCTCCGCCACCGCAGGGACATTAGGCTGCTGGAACCTCCATCCTGGATCCAGTCCCCACGGCGGCAGGCAATCGCGTCTGCAGCGGTCATGCGTCGGCCGGTAGCGACGGAATCAGCAAGCAGACATGCTGATGCCCCCGGAAGACGATGATGAAGACGATCGTTGAAACTATTGTCGCCTGAGCCGTAGTTGACGAGCGTTGTTACGCGCAGAACACCGTAGCCAGAGCGTTGCTTGTATTCGTCACGATGCGGTCGACTAGCGAATACTGATGCGTAGGTGCAGCATATGAAGCAGCGTGGCAACTCAAACTGGCACTAGCGCAGGTAGGCATGGTATAATAACGATGCATCTAGCGGTTTCTGCAAAGGCAAAAACATTGAATAAACGATACGGAAAAATAGAACAAATTCAAGAGCGCGATAATCTAAAAGCAATAAAGCAATAAATCATAATGTTCAGTTCTTACCAACGATTTCGTCCACTCAGGCGCTATGCCTCCATTCTCGACGGAGTACACCATGAAAAAGACTGAGTATGGCGGCTGACTTAGAGCCCGCCAGTCACGGGAACCCGCAAGTACTGCAGACACGCGGACATAAACATTAACACATGAACATGCCATACTCATCCGTAAAACAAATAACATGCGGAATAACAGAAAAATATCCCCGTATAAACTCATCCCGCGAAACACAACACAAAAAGATAACACATATATCGTACGCAACGAACAAGTACCGCCCGCGACAGAGATGGGCAAAAGTATCGATCAGCTGTTCGCGCCGTCTGAGACACGGCCAATAAAGCTACCGCGCGAAGCCAGCGTGGGGGGACGGGAACGGCTCAGGAAGGGGCAGGCTGCTCCATCTCGCGGCTGTCTGGGAAACTCCTCCGCACCGCGCAGACCGTAAGGCGCAGGTGTCGCTGCAGACGCATGACTCCTCCGTCACGCGCACACAGGCGCGCGGCTCACAGGCGCACTAACAATTGGGGAGTGCCAAACCATCGGCTATCCTGGGCTATCCTGTGTTTTGACCTTAGGGGTGTTCACGGGCACCGCACACTGCTGCGTGCGGTGTGTGCGGTGCGGTCCGGTGCGTCCAGCAGGCGTGGGGGTAGGAGATGGGTAGGCGGTTCTGGCGTCACGGCTGCGTGCGGTGGACGGGACGGTCCGCTGTGGATGTCCGTCAAGACAGCCTATATGCAGCCCAGATTCAGCCCGGATTCAGCCCAGATTCGGGACACCTCCGATCAAGCTGAAACTCGCACACAATGTAGGCCATGACATGCCCAATCCACAGTCCAAGTCGTTCGGCGGCACTCCCAGTCGTTTGACCTACAGAGGTCAGCAAAGGTCACGTGGCCCAAATTTGCACAGCAGATTGTGGCCCACCCAGTAGAGCTAGAGCGCAAAAATGGCACCAATCGACTCGCCAGCATCTAATCTTACATTCCCAACACTCATTTGACCTCTCAAGGTCATGCGATGACCTAAGGTCATTTGTGGGATATGTCGAAAATACACTCCGCTCCGCCGTTTTTGAGATATTCGCGAAAACCACAAGGGGGGGGGTGTTGTTCAAACACCCCTCTAGCAGGGCGCGGGTTAATGGCCTGCCTTGTTTGAGCTCCGGCTGCGTAGCGCCGTAGCAAGGTCATTGAAGATCCTGCGTGCGGCTATTGGCTGCCCGGACAGCAGCCGCAGCGTGCGTGGTAGCGCTTACCGAAGAGAGCCAGAACAGTTCTGCGCAACCTATAGATATTTGCAAACGTATATTTTATGTGTGCATGTTTTCATTGGAAAGTAAGCCTGTGTGCATATTTCAAAACCTTTTTCTTACAAAGACGTGCAATTAGCCTAGCTAACCATTTAAAAGTTTACCATTTATTGTGACAATTTATGTTTTCATGTCCGTTGCAACCAAACCAAACATGTTATTTTTAATTTGTTTCAATTGAAAGTGCCTTTTTGACTGCACACAATTTTCCTTTCAATCGAGGTCCTTTGGTCTTAAAGGAGCATTATTTGCCTGGAAAAAATATTCGAAATATAGAATTGGAAGTTTTGAATCTGTCAGTCAAACGAATCAAACATCAAACCGTCAAACCCGAGTTAAACCTAACGGTAGCCCTCTGTCAAAAATAGTGATAGCGTTTTCTCTGGAAATTTTGATAACTTTATTCAAGTTTGTGTCACCTTGATGCTTTGACATCCACAGTCCACCTGAGTCGGTAACATTCTAGTTTGCGTGTCTGAATTCCCTTTGGATTTCTCTCGTATCCGGGCGGTGTGGCTGTGATGTCGGGGACGGCGATGGCACAGGAGGGCACCAAGCACGTCTACCACTCGATAGCGCTGGAGCCGGCCGGCGCCGTCACCGTGCCGGACGGGTCGCGCTGCTGCTCCGGCGGCCGCAAGGTGCTCACCCTGCTGCTGGCCTCGGCGCTGCTCTGGGTCATCGTGCTGGACATCATGCTGGTCGTCTACCGCTCTCACCACATGTAAGTGGACCGTCTACCGCTCTCACCACATGTAAGTGGACCGTCTACCGCTCTCACCACATGTAAGTGGACCGTCTACCGCTCTCACCACATGCACATGGACCGTCTACCGCTCTCACCACATGTAAGTGGACCGTCTACCGCTCTCACCACATGTAAGTGGACCGTCTACCGCTCTCACCCACATG